TTTTCTTTCAATTAAAGCAGAAAATTAGAACCTCCCGCAAATGCTGCTTGGTTAACACAAAATTCGACATTTCAAACACAGTAAAAATCAAGGTTTTTATATGAAATTCAAAGCGATATACTGAATATTATTAGCAGATGTCTAACCTCTCTGAAAAGGCCAAAATCAGCTGTCACGCATTTTGAGCCACAACAGCCGGAGCCATCTTTTGAAAAACGGACCAAACTAATTGTGCTCCCAATAACATTTATATATGTATTATATACTAGTATTCTAATTTACACTTTATGTGTTTCATGTTTTTATCATTTATACATATTACTTTTATATTCTTTTGATTTACACTTTACGTATGTTTTTTATCTGTATGTAAGTATTACTATTATGTATTACTACATATATATGTATTCTGCTCCATACATAAATTGTTACAAATAATTATATATTTTGTATACTCTAAAACGAAGATAAATGGGGAGTAATTAAAAAAATACGTTTATATACTCATATTGATATATATTTTTATATGTAGAAAAAATACACGAATCAAAATTTTATCAAATGACATTGTTTTTGTATATCCATGAATTGTGCGATCCATCGAATCCCAGCCACTTGACGTACACCTTGTCTCCTTTCCTGCGCAGTACTTTCTCCATGAGATACATGTCCAGATGAGTAGCGCGATGCAACTCGTGCTCGTAGAACGCATCAGCGATCAATTTTCCGCGATAGTCCTCGAGTAGATAGGTTACGGGATTGATACGAAGCATCTTAACGATCGTGAACATCTCGGTGGTTCAATTTGGCGTGTTTCAACCTTTTTCAAAAATCGTCTTGTACTTGCTCACGTGTATCGAATCGCCCACTTTGAATTTTGCCGGACCAGCGATTTTTATCATGCTGTACACCGTGTCCAAGAATCTTTCGGCGATCGCGAGAGTTACGACGGCGGGCCGCATGCCGATAGTACGATGCTTGCACGCGTTGTAACCTGATACCAGACGTATCTTGTCGATCCACTTGTAATTGCCGATGAGTGTAAACATCTTCCACATGTCGTTTTTGAGTGTGCGATTAAACCGCTCGACTACCGACGCTTTCAACGTCGAATACGTGGAATAGTCATTAACGTCATATTTTTTCAAGATTTTCTGCACATCGACGTTGTAACTCCTTCCCCATATCCGTTTGTAAATTTTTAGGACATCTTCCACTCGCTCGAATTATCTCAACAATAGCATCAGCCGTCTTATTTCCACCCTTACTCTTGAGCAGTACGGTACTTGCTCAACACATCGATGACGGTGAGTATGTAGTGGTGAGCTCTGTTGAAGCTCGAGTACGGACACATCTCGACGATCAGCCTGCTATAGATCGTCGTACCCTCGAACTATGACGCATCTTATAAATTTCTTCTCGCCGGAGCGTGCAATTCCTCGACGAGTCGACGTCTCTCGGAGCTAATTTTTCTCTTTTCGGTGGATTTTCATGATTTCATGATTCGACGCGTAATACAAAGGGCAAAAGTATTTTTTTCTCGCTGATACCACTCGACTGACTCATTTCATCAATACGCGATTTAATTTATAATAAGACCGGTCGATTATCGAAGTTCCTCGATAATCGACAACATCTCGTTGTCGTGAGCGTTGTTGTCCGCTCGGTGCGAAGCGTCGAGCAATCGTAGACGATCCACCAGCTCGTTGGGATCGTCCCAGTGTACGTAATCGATCGCGTTGTCGTTCAATATCATTGCGGTAATCCCTTTCCAGATTTCTTCTTGTGTTTCTTGGGTGTAATCGACATCAACAGCGCGATTACATATTTGTACTTGTATCCCCTGCTCAGTAATTGCTCAATAATCGGCCCTGCGAATGGTGTTTGTGTTTGTGCGCGTTCGTCACCAGCATGTTCTTGTACTTGTTCACATCGTCTTCCGTATAGAGGAGAATTCTCTTGAAAATAACTCGTAAAGACCAGGGGTATCGGCATATCGTACGCCGTCGATAATTATATTGTTCGTATCATCCACGTCGAAACGTTTATCGCCAAACATCAATCCATCATTGATAGGTAAACGCCGTATATATAATCTATCCCGCTCTTCTATTCATCTCCCTTCATAACAGCCTCGACATACTTTTGACCCAGCGAGTCTAAGCCGGCTTGTAACGCCTCTCGAGCTTCCAATGTTTGCAATCTTTTGCTAGCAAGTCGTTTCGAAAACGTTCTCCAACGATTCGTCGGTGCGATCATCATATGCGAAGTGGAAGTTATCGGCTGTACACGATCGTGCGATCGATCATCGGATTTACGCAGGGTCGCGGAACGCTCAAACGTCTCACTCGCTTTCTCTCCCTCTTCCTACTCCTCCTCCTCCTCTTCTTTTTCTTCTTTCCTCTCGCGCTTGAAGGCAGACGCTGCGTCATCGTCGTGCGACTGTCTCTTTATCGCGCGCACACCGGGGCTGTCAACGATCTGTTGCAGCGATTTGATAATAGGCTTAAAATGCCTATCCAATGCCATGTCCTTCTCGATTCTACCAGTTTTCAGAGCGTGATGTTTCTTGCGGATCGCTCGTCTTTCGATCTCTCTCGCGATTTTTTTACGCTCGCGCACATCAGCCATGTTCGTCTCTAGTGAAGTATCGACAATGACTAGTCACGTTACAGTATCGCGAACTCGTTAAATCCTTTCTGTATTTCCCGTCTTTAAACGAACTATCCTTGTCTATTACTAAAAATAAATTTATATATTTTTTTGCCAACAGTTACGGTACAACGCGCTAAATTCATCGTGCAACATATCGGTATTTACGTGACTGTAAATGTGCTTCAAGTTGGTACAATCCTGTTTGAACAGGATCAGCAGGTTCGCGTTGTCACGTATCAGATGTTTAGGTATCCTCGCGTACGTCTGACAGAGATAGAAGCAATCAATGTTCGCGTGGCGACCCATCGAAAAGTATTCTCTTACTGCATCCTGTCGCATGCCATGTCATCAAAGATAAAAATAGAATTTGGGCGCTCCTTGTTCGATGGAACGACGTCGCTGTTGTTGGAAAACGTAAAGTAGCCGATTTCATCGATAGACGTAAATAAATTTTCGAAATATCGATACTGTGGTTGTTGCAATGATTTCGAGTAGACGTACACGTTCTCGAAACGTACGCCGTTTGGACTCTCGAGCAAACTTATGAAAACGTTGGTTTTACCACAATCGACAGGCCGCAAATGATCGCGCATATAGTACTCGGCAGCATTTCGCATGCTTGCACTTCTCCGCGCTGCCTCCTATTATTTGCGATTTCGCGTCACAGTTTGTGACGCGTATCGTCAGCAGTTGCAGCACGAATTTCATGCTCACACTAAAGGCTATGCGCTCTCGAACGATTATTTAAAGATGCGCGAATCCGCGAATCGCGTAGTAGCAAAATTTACCTCGCGCTGTATCATCCTTCTGATATTCGAGACTTGAGCGCCGAGCAGTTGCAATATGTGTATGTACCGAAGGTCGTACTCTTACGCATGTACAGTGATATCGGATAGCTTCCGGAAGCTTCCGGAACTTTCCGGAAGTTGCTGTGAAGGTAGATTTGGAGGATCGAACTTATCGCTGCGACGAACACTACAATCAGTCGTAGCAGCGGATATCGACGGTCCCACACCGAAGATAAAGTACTGTAACGAATGTCGACATTGCACGACGGTCTGCTGAATCGAACGATAAACGCGCTTCCTTTCGAGTTACATATTCCGGGCTACCAGTTTTGCGGTCTGGGCACTCAGCTTATGAAACAATTAGCCAGAGGTGACGCGGGCATAAATCCGCTGGTCGCGGCGTGCCGAGAACACGACATTGCGTATTTCTCGGAACAATGATCTCACCGATAGACACACGGCAGACAAGGTACTCGCCGATAAAGCGTTAGGACGCTTCGTCACGAAAGATTCGGCTCTAAGTGAGAGAGCCGCCGCAGCTGCTGTCTGGGCAGCGATGAAACCCAAGACCAAGATCGGCATGGGCATAAAACCGAAGAACAAGACGATGAGGAAAAAAGTGACGAAAAAGCGAATACTTCCGATGGCGAAACGAGGCGATGTGTTATCGTTTCTGCCAACGTTGAGCGCACTCGGGCCCTTGATCGGCGGAGCGGCCAGTGTGGCGAAAGCGGTAAACGACAGCAAAGCCGCGAGACGTCAGCTCGAAGAGCTGCAACGTCACGATCGCGCGATGGAACAGGGTCGTGGACTGTATCTCGCTCCGTACAAATATGGATTGTATCTGGACCCATACAAACGTGAACAAGGCGTAGCCTTGCCAAGAAAAAAAAACGCCAAAAAGACGATAAAAATGCCGTCTGGCGCAACTACCAATGTAGATTAGAATGAGCTCGCGAGACGTATGCGCGTACCATACTTTAGAGGCGTTTTCATGCGTAACACGTTATTGACGAGCGGCGCACGCCGAAACGAAAGCAATATCATGAATCTGGATGCGACGATGCGACGAGGTACTCATTGGGTAGCGTACGCGAAGAGGAACTACCGCGTGTACTTTGACAGTTTCGGTAATCTTCGATCGCCCAAGGAACTGGTTCGATATTTCGGGAAGCGTAATCGGGTATTCTCCACTCTCACCATTATCATCATCGGTGTCATTATTATTGTCACCACGCACTACATCAACGCTTCAAGTGCTACTTTAGAGTACAGTGCTACGATAGAGTACAATCGCATGTCCTATCAGATGTACGATCAGAGTTTCTGCGGACAGATGTGTTTGTGATTTTTACAAACAATAGACACGCGTGAATTTAAAAAAGCTCGACAAGGTACTGTGAAATCTTAGTATTTGTCGAACGCTTTTTCCATCATGTTGACGCTTACGCTAAGCGGAAAGAGCACCGTCCTCGCGGCGAATTACTTCCCCGCCATAGTTTTGAGTGAGAGATTACGAGCTCAGTCTGGCGATTTTTAAGACTTATCACACGATACCGAACGTGAACGAATCGAATAACAAATTTTATTATTTGCCAAAGACGACGCGGAAATTACAATTCCCGAGGGTTCGTACGAAGTGCGAGACATAAATGAATTTCTGAAACGCGCGATTTTACGAAAACGTCCGCACCGCGACGCGCTTGAAACCGTTGATGTAGTGCATGGTGACAATAACAATTACACCGATGATAATGGTGAAAGTGGAGAATATCCGCGCAAACTACAACACGATGAGATGCGAGATTAGATGTGCGCACAGAATAAACTTTGGCAAGCCGAACAGCATTGGATCGCTGTTGGGATTCTAGTCGAAGCGTATATTGCAGCCGCGAAAATGGCACGAATCGGACGTGTCGATCAACATAATGAATGTAAACGTTATCCGCGTAAAGTGTAACGGAACCGCAGGCGTATAGCAACAGCAAAAGCGCGCACATGAATTTTCGTCGGCGTTCCGCCAGTATATAAGATATCGGACAGGCCGGCGCAAATCATTTAACTGCCGATAATCGCACGGAGCATTACGGATCTAACGATACGCATCGTCGATCAGAACGGATGATTGCTCGATTTTCGAGAAGAGATCACTGTTAGATTACACGTATGATGGTGACAGTGATAACGTGAGCGTGAAATGCTCGTGCTGAACGGAACGGATCATACGCAGAGAGATAACGCATTCTTTACAAGGCCGGTGACGTCATAGCTCGACAACACTCGCTCTAGCTGCATCAGAAAGAAGAAGAAACTCAGCGCGTCGAATGTTACATTTTTAAAGTCTTTGGGATTCGCGGTGCGCAACATTTGAAATGATTGATATCCTAAACATTAAAGATTAGCCGATCTTCAACGATCGCATCGTCAAGATTGAGACTCACACGTACAGCCCGTTCGCCATCACAATGTTTGGGTATAGCGATGAAATAAGAATATCCATACAGCAACAGAATCTGTACACACTGCTGTACAAAAGCTTTCTATACGTCGAGAAAAAATTGACGAAGAACAAAGTGGTCCAGGGTGCTCACGTGGCATTGGGAAATAATTGCGTCGCGTTCATATTCGATGAGATTCGATATGAACTCAATGGTGTAGAGACCATAAGAGAAATATGGACATAACTAGCACGCACAAAAACTATGTAACAATGTCATCCGACAGAAGCGTCGCTCTTAGGGACGACACACAATCGCAAAACGATAGTTGAGCGCCAGGCACGAGCGAGCGTGCCATTCTTTTTCAAAGTTACACGATACTTTCTTCATGCAATATTCAGATGTGAACGTCGACGGGCTCTCAACCGGTAGCTCAGCCTCGGAAATGGCAGAGGGGGCGGTTCGAGGATAGC